GGTCTTCTAAGCTATAAAACCCTAAATTCTATAAATACAGGGCCTTTTAGTTCGAAAGATATCCGGTTTTCTAAATATAACGTCGATAAACAGGTCCCGGCGTAGGAGGCTATCCTAGAATAGACTTTAGAAGCTTCGGTTAATATAGTCCTTATTTAGGAACCTACCTGCGTCTTAATATTGGAAGGGTGGTTTATCCGAAACCACCCTGCTTTCTACACCATTACGCCTATATCCTTAAAAACCTAGTTCTCCTCTATTAAGCCTAGGGTTCTTACTTATATAAGAAAGGGCTCTGGTATCTATTGATCACACCGCGACGACCTTATAGATAATATAGACGCATATATTATAGAGGTTTATTATCCATAGATCTTTTATATTCTACACGTTTATAATTAGATAGAATAGGACCCCGAAATAATAGGCCGAGGGCTGCCTCCTAGCCCTACCCCTTTTACCTCTTCCACTTCGTCTTCTTCTTTTCCCTCCTTTTTAGGCCCTAGAAGCCGGCCCTGGACGGAAGATCGTATACTATAAAGCCTTTAGGTTCCTAAGCCGAAGCTTATTATAGGCGACTTAAATAGGAACGACTAGTAATAGAACAGGACTACTACTAACCAGTCTTCTATTCAGGCCTAGGCCCTAGTAGCCTAGTTAGATAGCCTTAAAACTACTAATTTAGTGGATCCTAAAGAAGTTAACCTAAACGCGGAGACCGTTTTTAGGTCTAATCTTAGTTACGAGTCGGTTATAGACCTTATATTTTATACGCCCGGCTTTAATAGTCTCCGCTTCGATAAGTAGGAGTATATTAAAAGTAATACCTCCCTACGCCGCGCTATTCTACTTTCTACCTCTATTTTAGGCTTTAAGGGTCCTATAAATAGATCACTTCCGCCGGCCTATAACTGTAAGCTAGCAGATCAGGATCTATTTTCTAGTACTCTAAAGAGCCTAGAACCTAGCCTTAGCTAATAGCTTTAATAGGCTACCGATGCCTCGGACTAGGACTTTATAGACCGCTACCTTTCAGACACTATTACCCTCGCGCTTAAGGCTTTAGTGCCTGAGTTAAAGGTAGTAGAGCGTTCGAAACCTTGGTGCATAAAAGAGCTAAAAGCCCTGCGAAAGCTAGCTAGCAGGGCTTTTAGGGTATTTTGAAGGACGGCTAAAAAGGGGGCCTTTATTACCCGGCTAGCGTCTCTAGAAGCCTTATGGAAAGAAGCTCGAAACGCCTACTATAGGGTAGTAAATATAGTAAAAAGCGACTACTAGGAGGCCTTCCTAGCCCACGCCGAAGGCCCTAAGATTCTTAAGGCCTATAACTGTACGAAGAGTGGCCTTAGCGTAAAATTCCCACCGATTTAGACGCCTACGAAGTAAAAGGCCTACGCCTTCGAAGATAAATTTAACGCCCTACTTTAGACCCTTTTTATAGCACCCTCCGCTACCGATGCCCCCGAAGCCCCTGTTTTTCTAGGCCCTTCGGGGGGCCTAGGCCCATTTTACCCTTTTAACGGTCCCTAGAGCCTGACTAGATCACGTAGGAAGGGCCTTAGAAGACCGTGGGAGTCGCCTAGCTTATCGACTAGAGAGGTATAACGCGCGAGTTTTAGAGCCGCTAAAGAGAAGGCCCCTAGACCTAAGAGTATAGGCTTGAGACCGATCTAATAGGCCTATAAGGCTATTGCCGGGTCCTTTTTATAGTCCTACTTAGCACTCTTTTCCGTAGAGTATTACCTTACCTACTAGAAAGAAGCCCTTAGAGTTATTTTACCGAGCTAGGAAAGAAGGATTATTTAGATCCTAAGTCTTATAGTAATATAGCCCTTCTAAACTACCTAGGTAAAGTACTCGAACGGGTTATAGCTATTAGGCTTAGCTTTATAGCTAATACTCGCGACTACTTTCTATACCCTAGTTAAATAGGGGGTAGAAATCAACGCTCTACTATCGATACGGCCTTTCTCCTTCTTTACTATATAGAGAAATAGCGTAAATCACACTAAAATCCCATACTTTTTACGCCATTTTTAGATATTAAACGAGCTTTCGATTAGATCGCCTGTCTCTAGCTACGTTAGACTCTTTAAGAATTCTAACTACCCTAGAACCTAGTTAAATAAGTAGTCTCTTTTACAGAAAACAGGCGTATCTAACTAGCATTCGAGGGGCAGGTTTAGTACTCTACCCTCCTAGATATAGGAGTTCTATAAGGCTCCCCGGTTTTCCCTATCCTATTCCTGATTTATATTAGGAAGGTCATAGCGGGACCGGATTTTCGGGGTCTTTAGCTCTCCTATATCGACGATTTTCAGCTATCTATAGCGGCTACGTTAACTAGGAAAAACTATAAAACCCTGGAAAAAGCCGTAGCCTCCCTTTTCGACGCAGTAAAACTTAACTAAGTCCTTTTCGACTACCGAAAAACAGAGCTTCTTCGCTTTTATCGAAGACGCTCTAAAGAAGACGCCCCTATTATTATAGGGGGGCACCTAGTTAAACCTACGCTAGGTACTATTAGGTGGCTAGGGGTCTAGTTTAATCCTAAGCTATTCTTTAAACCCTATATCGAAAAACGCCTAAATTTAGTTTTAGGGGTTCTAAATAGATTATATAGGCTAGCTAGCTTATAGAGGGGCCTTTCTTTTAAGGCCCTAAGGCAGCTATATATAGCCTATATTACTTTATTAGCTGATTTTAGCTCGTAGCTCTAGTAGGACCCTAAGTCACCGCACAAGGACCTAGTGGACTGCCTAGAACACCTATAGTACGGCGCCTTAGTCAGGGCCCTAGGACCTTTTAGGGGAGCCCCCTTAAAGCCTTTCGAACTCGAAGCAGCAGTTCCCATAATAGCGGTTCGGTTAACTAGGTCTAATAGGCTATATGCCTTGAGGACTTTAAAGTTCCTGCCGAACTATCTTATTAAATACTACCTCCTCGCTAGTATTTAAAGGGGGCTAGGAGACGAAAACTAAGAAGACCTCGCCCTTCTTTAGAGTCTATAGCCTACTATATAGCTTTATAGGCTAGGCCTGGAAATAGTGGCTTTAGTAGGTTAGTCTTAGAATATTAAGGGTCCTTCGGCTAAGTAGGAGGCCCCCTAGGCTTCGCAACGTATAGCGGACCTAAGACCCTTTTCCCTCTTAAAGACCAACCTAAAATAGCTACCGACCCTGGCCCTGGCCCCGAAACCCTTGATCAGAAAATAGCCTACCTCGAAGCTCTCGCTAAAATATAATATAACCTAGGCGAATAGGCCGATGTTTTCTATACCGACGGCTCCCTAGGCCACCCTACTAGGCCTCCTATAGAGCCCTCGCAGGGTATAGCTGCTATAATATAGTGGACTAATACCGGAAGGCCCTATAAAGCTATAGGCTTTAACCTAGGGACCGCTACCGAAGTCGCGGACGCCGAATTATATGTTATTCTTAAGGCCCTCCACGCTACCCTAGAGTAGACGCCTAGGCCCCTAGAGTGCTATATTTTTAGCGATTTATAGGCGGCTATTTAGAAGCTTTAGCGCACTTTATAGTGGGTTATAGAAGCTAAAGCCCTTATCCTACGCCTTAAATAACTAGGCACTTCGACTTCTATATTGTGGTGCCCCTTACACGTAGAGATAGAGGGTAACGAACTAGCGCATAAAATAACTAAAAGGGCGTTAAACCCCGAAAGAGCTACTAAGTCCGTTAGCTTAGTTACCCTTAGCTACCTAAAGCGCCGGGTAAATAAAGCCCTTATTTAAGACTAGAAGGCCCTATGGAATAACGAAGAGAAGGCGGAAAAAGAGGTAAATCTATACGACTAAGCCGCCTATATAAGTGCCTAGTCCGCGGTAACATCCGTTTCTCCCGAAAACCATTACTAATATAAGGCCTTAGGTGGGTAAAATCGGCTTTTACGTAGTTGAAAACCGGCTTCGGATACTTAAAACCCTACTAAAAAAAGGGCCTAAAACTATGCTAACGACCGCTATTCCTATCCCGGCTCCCCTATACAGGATACAGCCCACCTTATCCTTTCCTGCCCTTATTATAAAAACGAACGAAAAGCCCTACGAGAAGCCCTAGCAGGCCTACCGCTATCTCTATCGCTATTATTTAGTCTTAAAAGGGGAATAAAGACTTTAGAGGCCTACCTCTTAGCTACTAAAATAGCTTCCGCGTAGTAGTATAGGGCCTAAACCTTAGTTTCTACGGACTAGTTCGTTTACTTTGGTTTTTATCTATATTATTAGGTCCATTAGGCAGATTATTACGGAGAATTTCCTTTATTTATTACTATTACTTACTGATTTACTATACTTAGCTCCTACTAGCCTTTCGCCCCTAGGGCGATAGGTGCCGCGCCATAGCTTTAGGGCTACACGCGTGTAATAAATAAAAAAAGAAAACCCCCCATCTATTTTTACACGTTTTTAATGTCTTTAGGCATAAAAAGAGCACGGCTTTTAATAAGCCATTTAACCATTGGATTAATATCTAGGCCTTTATTTTACCCTTGGTTTACGGCTTTAAATTTCAATAGAATAGTAAGGATTAATCCTATAGTTCTAGGGGGATGTATTAGATACTAGTATACACTTATCGGGGTATAACTTACGCTATTTTCATACACGGATAGGGTACTTCCGAGCAATATGTTTATATCGATTTCCCCTCCTTTTACCTTATAGTTAGACTTTCCCGCGGAGTACCTTTTACTCTGCTTTAATATATATATATATATACCTTTTTACATATCTTATTTATATACTAACAAGGCTAATACTATATATTTATTCTTATATCTAATCGTCTGTATCTATGTACTATTTCGCCCTACTATAATACAGCAAATCTCTTAACAGATCTATTAACTAACTAATATTTATATATTTGTCGTATTTCTCTATATCTGTCTTACTAATCAAGCGATGCCCCTACAAAAGAAGATTTTTTTTCGCTCAGCTTAACAGAAATCCTGAACATGCAACCAACTGGAGATTTCATCGAGTTTTGCTGAACGTTCGTTGCTCAGCGCGCCTTCAGGCTAGGTCAGTAACTGCGAGTAACCACGCTCACCCTCCTTTCCACATCGATACCAAATGATTAGACTCTATATTATCAATCAATCTGTCAATCCACCGAGTCCTCTGTGACGATTACATGTTAGATGAATGATTACTCACATCAATTTGCCCTCTTCTTGGAACCCCCGCCTGTTCCCGAGCTAACCAATGCCAACTTTCCTAGAGGGATTTATAACTATGACCGACCACGAAGGCTTCGGTCGACTGAGAATATCCAAAATTGCTGACCGTTACCTTGTTTTCGACGCCGACCACGCGGCCCTTCTGCGCCGTAGTCGTAACATCTGCGGTGTGCTTGTTGGATCAACACCACAGAACCCCACCCAGAATGTCTTCCTCAGCCTCCCCCTGGAGCTTTTCCCGGAGGAGGTCGCGGAACTTTTGAAATCTGGCCTGGCTGCACTTATTGATCAAACCTCACATCACCTGGGTACTCTCCAGTCGAGGGATAAGCACATACGTCTGAAGTACATGGAGCATTTGCAACAATACAGATGGCAGGCCAAACGGCTGTTGACCGAAGATCAAGCGATGAGGACTGCTCAGAAGTCACTTCACGGTGGTAAAACATCCAGGCAGTTAAACGAACACAATCGATCTCACCTCGACCCGTCATCATCCAACCAAGGGGAGCATGGACTATCTGGAGAGAATCCACAGATTCAGGCGAGTGTCGAGCCTCCCAGGTGTCCAAATCCCTCAGGGCGTCTTACAGTGGCTAGGCCCTTGGCTGTAACTCCCACAGCCAGTTCCGGCCTACCACCCGCCTCGGTTGATGAGATCGAAATATCATTTTCACGTGACGAAGTTTCTACTCGTCCACTTCACGGTTATCTACTATCTAAAGGGTACTTCATGACGCCTGGCTTGAGGTTTGGGGCAGATTACAGTGTCTATCCGGGAGACCCTCTGAGGTATCATGCCCATTTCCTCGCCAGTGAATACGGATGGGATGAGGAGATTTGCATGCTCGACATCGTTGGAGGGGGGCGACTTGGTACTTCTGTTAAAAAAGGGTTTCTCATAGGTGGGGAATGTCCCACACCAGGAAACGGCGCGCGCCCTATGAGAGCTTTCTCTATCGAGTGGGCTGGCATGTAGCTCTATTTCGGTAAGGAGTGCACTTCGTATGGCGAATCGCGGTCACCATGGCTATGGCCTTTGTAGATTTGTCCAGTCATGATATCTTAATCCATCGTCCGACTGCAGATTGACGATCCAACATTGTCTCGTCATTCGTTTTATGAAATTTTCCAATATATCGCGAACTGCTATGGGACGAAAATCCTACTAAAACTGACGACCTCCCGCCGACAACACACACACTTGTCGAAATTGTTCATGGCCAGAGAGACACGACAATCGTCACACAGACTGAGACAACGACAGGGCCATAAAATAATGGTCCTCGGCATACTCTGGCAAACCACGCATTGCGGCCCGTCCTGCCCTAGGCCATCCGCCCCCTCAGACCAAAGAGACGGACGGTGGCCCAGTCTTCTCAAGCCCTCCCCCCGTCGTGATAAAAGAAGTTTCTCGAGAAGTTCGCCCTCCTCCTCCGGGGACAATTTCCCTGAATGGGACAGTGCGGGGCGAAATATCTCCAACCTCCGGCGATGTTGTAGGCTGCGGTATCGTGATCTCGTTATAATGCCAGGGCTACTCAGGTGTGCAGCAAGCGCACGTGCTTCTTCTTTCTCCTCTGGGTTGCTTGGATCTAGGAGCCGTGCAAGATCAGCCGGTTCCAGAGGGTTGTCGAAAGAGCTGCCCAGAGTTCGGGGAGCATACAACGAGCTTTGGGTCGGCGTCCTTGAACCTTCGTCCACGTCGGATTCCCAAAGCTCTCCGTTTTCGTCACCCGTGATTGATGACACAATGCTCATCGCGTCATCGTCATCTTGTTCAGTCGCATTGCTTGGGCGGTATTCTCCGCTCGTGTCTGTTAAGCCCCACCAGCCTCCTCTAAGCCACCAGCCATAGAGCTTTGCATCCAAGTCGCTCTCGTCTAATGGAGATGAGGCTGACGTTCCTGTCCTCGATCGACGTCTAAACTCCGCTTCGACGTCAACTGTATCGTCTTTGGGAATTATGATTCCAGATTGGGATGATTCCAAAGCAATGTTCAGCGCCGCATCCCTATCTTCGGTTGGCCTGCTCATCCGGTTGTTCGTTGTTCTTGGGCCGGGGGGGATTCGAAGTAACCATCCCGGTGCGCGAATGCCCAGCTTCGAAAAAAGTGTGAGAACACCGATAACCCAAACCCTCAACATCAATCTGTGGGTATTGATGACGAAGTCCAGGGCCATCAGCCACCTTCCACTCCTTTCAGCTGCGCCGACACCGTCCCTCAACTTCCTATCTCTCGTGCCAAACTTGGGGAGTTCCTGCGCAGCTCGTTCACGGCGATAGCCGTTTTGCCCTTGGACAAGACCGCCCGTCATAGGGATCAACCCAATCGTGCCGTCGGAGTCTAGTCGCGGATCGCGTGCACTGGCTCTAGCCCACTGCATACTTAAGTCATTCAGCTCGCGAAAGCGTTGGTCCTCTAGCCAGGTAGAGCGCTTCAGATTGACATCTCTGTCCTCGTTCAAATATACGGCTTCGCTTGCCATGGTAATCGCGGCGAAGCCGGTCCGCAGTAAAGCAGTGTAAAAGTCCATCTCCATACGTATCCGAACATCGGAAAGGGAGACGTTTGCTTGCATGTTAGCGCGGGCCTCTGCAACACACCGACGAAAGTTAAGCCTATGAGGACAGCCTGTTGCGAGACCTGAAGCCAACAAAAGAAGCGCCACCAAGTATATAACAAAGCAGGTGAGAATACCACCGAGAACAAGTATATGCGGAACGAATCCAATGATACACACCGTAGGGTACCTCAACAAACTCTGGGTTGTCGGGTCGTCCAAAGTAAAGTTATACGCACTCCACGCTATGCTTGACATAAAGCAGAGGCCCCAGAAGCCGGTGCTCAGTAGCCGAAATCGGGCTTGCAGGTTGAAGACGCCAAGGGCATGACTAGTGAGGTGGCTCATGACTGAAAAAAAGGCCACTAATAGGACTTCTGGTGGTGTGTTCACCTTGTTCAGAATCATGGAGCGACTGAGAGCAACAGTATTCGCCAAATCTGCCGGAGGATGTTTGGCCACCGCTTGGCTAAGTGAAGTCCAGCTTAGTTGACTGCTTATCGCGGCATCTGCTTCGGCGAAGGCAAGTGAGTGTTCGAATAAGGTCATGCCTGTCTCGGCGGCGGCTGGGCGTCCCTGAACAGCGCAAAGTAACGTCTCAAGGAACTGACTCAAGCAGAAGGTGCCGAATAAAGGCCAGAGAATGGACAGAGAACCTCTGAGTTCTATCTGATCCTCTGAGTTATGGTTGGGCACCATGCGCATAGCAACACAGGAATCTTGGTCTGTTGATCCAAAGAGAAGACCCGTGCTTAGAGTGTGTAGCAAGCTATCAGTCTCAATGAACATGACGTCGAAATTCTTGGTCGTATTGCCCCAGCGCATTTCAGCAAATTCGGGTGATGTTTGGCACTGGATTGACTGTAATAGACGCCGAGCCTGGATAAGCAGCAGGACAATGGGTACCAGGCGCAAGGCAGTCCGAATTGGCCAAGAAATGGTAACTCGTCGTCGAGTGGCTGCAAATATATATGTCCGATTTAGTAGAATAGCCATCGCAACGCAGCACAGAGCCCATTTGCTCGTCGCGTAGCTGAAAACGCTCCCAAGGCCCTTCGCACCGTCCATAGAGAAAGTGGACGCAGCGACGGGAGACTCTCGGTCGGAGGTCGCCATATCGTCGGTAGCGGACATCGCGTACGTTGATGTGGCTGCTGCCACAACGAACGGGGAGGGAATTGGAACAGCTCAGCGTTGGGGATACCGTAGGTCGTAAATGACGCGATGGTCCTGATCATGAAATGGTGGAACCTGTAGTTGTTGTCCCTACACGTTTCCGTGCCAATCCTGCAAAGTAGATCCGCCACTAGCCGCATAGTGTCGCATGGGCACAGACTATGTGTGAGGGTGCACTAAATGTCGAACAGACCATATATGTCGTATGGGCACACGGACCACGACGTGGTCCCTAGGGGATCCATGCTTAACTAAGGGCTTCGGATCTCGGGGACCTCGGGCATCAGGATATAATAAGGGAGGATACCGAAAAAGACCGGATAGGATCCAAATAATATAGTATCCATAACAGAGTCTTCACCACCTAAATTAAAGGTATAAGAGACTTATATAGATATAACTTAATATAATATATATGTACGAGATTTGTACTCTACTAAGTTAATTATATAAGTGCTATTTTAACGTGCGATAGTTATAAGCCCGGTTTATAATGCTAAAACGATAGATATTAATACGGCTACTCCTATTTTATTATAAAAAGTAATCACGTTTATATAAGTACTCTTAAATAACTACTATTAACCTAATTAGAGTAATTAAGCGAGTAATTAACCTACCGACCTACCTATTAATTAATTAATTAACCGATAAGTAAGTTAAGATATCTTCTAACGTATCTAACGCCGATTAGAAGGTAGCCGCTACTACCCTTATTAACTGGAGAGATTAGGCAGCGTGGGAGCGCGTAATACGCGGTAAATCTGCCTCCTACTAGGATAACTATCTTAATCTAAAGCTAAGCAATAAGGAGGCTAACGCCTACCTCCTCCCTATATCTATGCCGCCTAATAGCCGTAAATACGAAGCCCTTATTAACCCTAATATAATAGAGGAGGCTACGGCTACTTCGTCTTCCACCGTTACGGCTACTCCGTTTTCCACTATTATACTAGAGGGCGATAAGGGTACCCACGCCACGGCCGCCGGTCAGAAGAAGACGGCCGCTCGCCGGAAGGCTATGGCCGTAACGAAAGAACTACCGATAAGGACGCTTACGTTTATTAACGACCTCTTTAAAAAGGAGCGTATACGCTACCTATAAGATCGCCGTGTATACCGCGAGGAAAAGGCAGACTATAACGCTTAGTAGAAGGAATTTAACGAGGTACGCTTATATATCGAAAGGATTATTTATACTACGTTACGTAACCTCCTCGTATAACTATAGGACGATAACGTAAATAACCTATAAGCGTGAATTACTCTCCTTTACGCGTATATAGGACTAACCCCTATAGACCTCTATAAGGAAGCCCTGATCCTATATCGATAATACACCACGCCTATAAAGGCTATACCTAAGGATATAGACGGGTGGAGTATAAGCTAGAAAATAGCGATAATACACTATAAATATATAGGCGTTTTAGAGCTATTAAGCGCGGACTATTAGGCGGAAGACGCGCTAAAAGCTATTAGACCTATTACCTAGAAATAGAGTAATAGCTATCTAGTTAATAACTACGATAAGATTATGGAAAACGAGCTAATAATTAACGACTTCGTAAAAGGTCTAAGGGCGGTTCTTAGTAATATAAAAAGCCTATAATCCGCCGCTATAAAGCCTAGAGTCAGGAGAGGCACCTCTAATACCCTTAGGAACTCCACCGATACTAAGGATACTACTAATAACGAAGATAATAAGAAGCGTCCTCGTAGCGATATATCCGTAAAGGCTATTCTTCCTGTAACGAGGAGGCCTTATAAGATATACGAGAATACGTATAATACCGCCACTTATTAGTATATAAGGCCGGATAAACGCCCTTATAGCTAGCATAGCCATGAAGATATTACGAAGGTTATAGAAAAGAAGATATATAACTATAGTTTTAAAAGCCGTATATATACCGCGATATAGAAGAGGCGGGAAGCCTTAGGGGCTACTACTATAGCTAGTAAATTAGAGGAGGTCTAGAGAGATTAACTCTATAATACTACGCCTCTTATAACTATATATTACGGGTTAACCCCGATATAAGGACCGGCTATACTCCGGATCTTCCTGACTACGCGCTTACTTCCTAGATAATCTTATCCCGGTTCGGGATATTCGGCTAATTAACACCGATTATACCGCTATCTCGTAAAGCTAAAGCGATAATATAATACTTAAGAAATTTATTACCTGTTATTACTTTAGCCTTCAGCCTGTCTACTAGGTCGGTCTAATTAAAAAGTATAGATCTAATTAGTTAATTAGCCCTGGTAATTAGATACTAATCAATAGGTCTATCGGCGTTAGTAATGGTAAATCGCTAGTCGGCGAGTATTCGCTTAATTAGTTTATCTGAATACGACTATATACTCGTGCTGGTTATATTTAGGGCAGTGGCGGTATTCCTCGTGGCTAGGTTATTAATGTTCGCCTGCGTATTAGTCTATAGGGCAGTAATCTATGGTATAGTTATCTACAGGGCAGCTATCTATAGGATAGTAGTCTATAAGGGAGATATCTACGGTATTATCGTCTATTCAGGAATCGGTGCTCCCGCGCTATCTAGTCTATATAGACTATAGTCGTTATCTCCGTATAAAGTCCTATTCGTATTATCTATTATAAATCCTCCTATCGGTATTCTCTATTATCTATCATCTATTACCACTATCGGTTCCTAGTTTTTATCTATAAAACCTGTATCCTCCTAATAGCGATATTTCGCTATAGGTATTAAAGCTCTCTTAAAAAGCTATAAAGCATTCTTTCTATCCGGTAAATACGTCTTATTATTAATACGTTACTATATTACGGCCTATATATCCTTCTATCCTATAAATTTACGATCTTATCATCTTATCTAAATATAATATACCACCTATTATGCCTCGCGTATATAAGGACTATGCTAGTCTTTCTTAATATCTCGGATAAGATTCTATAGCTTATTTCTATTATTTCCGACGATTATAGCCTAGCTAGTATGAAAAGTTACTATTATACCTTGCTTCTATACCATATAAGGCTATTATACGGATAGAAATAGAAGTATATTATAAAACTATTCGTACTATCGGTACTTCTTATATAAGTATTTGGATATTTTGCGTAATAACTGGATATTTATTCTCGAAGTATTAAAAATAAGGTTACGTTTATTAACTATTACTGTATCTAGGCCTAAAGGGTTAATCAACTATAATCGAAGAGGTCTATCTATATCGTGGATAGTGGCGAATATAAGAAGAGTAAGGTAGTGTATATAAGATATAAGCTATAATAGATTCTTATAAAGCTGGTTCTTGTTAATCCGTCTAAAATAGAAAAGTTATAAGGAAAAGAAAGAAAGAAAATAGGAAACCTTATAAAGCTAGACTTTCTTTTTACTATAGTTATCCTTTAAATCAATATAAAAGAATAATACGTCTGCTAACCTATATTAATAAAGTGAATCGGATATAATACTAATATAAGATAGCCTTTATACTAATAATAGAGATCGGAATATAAATTTAGCGATACTAATTATAGTATATAGTAAAAGAGAAGTGAGTAGGCTATAAAGGAGGTCTAAGAAGTAAATCTTAGCTATAGATAATCGTGGTATCGTGTCAAATAGGTAGTCGCAAAGAGTGAAAAGATAGGGTTAAGTAAGGAACCAGGTATGATCATGATAGGATTATAATAGGGTTAGAATGTGGGTATAGCTAAAGAATCAGATTAATCGCTAGCCTCCCTCTTTAAAGGGGAGGCTTCCTCGCTTCTTAAGGCTACGCTTTACTCCTCGAGGACTACTTATTTACTTCCTTAAGGGCTGCCTTATTTACTTCGAGGGACTATTCTATTTACTATGTAATAACTTGCTTTGTTTATGCCTCGAGGGGTCTTAGACTGGGCACACCTGGACCTATATGGGTTCACACTAGAGGCCTATTATAACCACTGCTGCAGGCACCTGATATATCGGTAATAAAAAGGCGATCCGTAAAAAGACTCCGTTTATAGTTAGTCTTAGACGACTTAATACACCTCGCTTTTATTAAAGAGCTTTATCGTTAAATTCGCGATAGTCTATATCGTCCGTTCGTGGTCTTTTCGGTATCTGTACTTAGACTGTTTTTTAGTATTTTATTAGATTCCTATCCACTAATATCCGATTATTTAACTTATCTCCGCCTCTAGGTAATTTCTCCGTTATAATAGGCTATCGCTATTTAAACTCGTAAATAAGGTCGCTTATATTTTTTATTAAAGGTTATCGCGGGTACTACTCGTTCTATTAATCTAGCTATCCCTTCTATCGGATTAGGTATTCTATATACGGTCGCCCTCTTTATCTAACGATACGCCTTTTTAAAAGCTTTTCGATTTTATACGAGGACTACTCGTTATCGTTACTATTTATAATAATTAGACCCGGCTTTATTTATTCTCTGCCGAAAGGATCCCTAACCGGGGCTAGAATAAGCTAGGTAATTAAGACTACTCTATATACTCGCTATAACTATAGAATATCAAGCTTATAAGCTAGTGGACTCATTAGTCGAATAATATAGAAAGGTCCTATACGCTGCTAGGACTATTTACGGGAATCTTTAGTCTATCCTAGTAGCTTTTATCCTTTATAAAGACCTAGATAAACTATCTCGTTAACTTTAAATATATATAGTCTACGTATAGTATTGTAACGTCTTTTTATATCTGCTATAGGGATCGCTATAAGATATTCTGTCTCCTATTAGTATAGCTATCGTATATAGTCTATCTATTGCTTATCAAATATCAGAGGTAAACTTATATTCGCTATTATATCTGCTATAGATTACGGTTTAAACCCGAAAAGAAACTTATTCGGCGAAGTATCTAATATCGCCGTATAGGCCTAATTATGCGCGTGCTATACCACGGGGAGTATATCAGGCCACGGAATATCGCTTATCGATATATAGTATCATAGAATAATCTTAACTGCCTAATTCTTTTACTCCGAAGAACTATTAGTTTACGAATACTATACCGTAGCTAACACGAGTTACGTCCCTAAGCACTTCTAGAATTCTTACTAAAATTCTAACACGAATTTCGGATGTTAATCCGAGATAATACGGACTAATAGACCTTAATCTATTAGTTATAGTATACGCAGA